CTTTTTATAATTTATAATAGACAGCAAATACAAATTAAATGAGCTGATTCATATCTCAGTCACTCCGCTGGAAAATGGGAGGAAAATAAAGAATCTTCACTTATTCCCATGGATATTGATAAAAGTGAAGGGAGAAGACATGAAAGATCTTGTGATTTTGCACATTCAATACCTACCTACCTTTGGGAGTGCAAAGATCAATCAGTGAAAGAAAACATGCAAGCTAGGAAGGCCAGGCATCCATATTCAAGGAAAACATCTGCATATGATTTATATGCAGTTATTTGTAATTAGAATCAGAGTAATACAAGTTAGTGGGGACCACTGTAAATTATCTGGCACTATTGCCCTGCTCGGAGCAGGGTCAGCTTGGATCCACTTGCTCCAGGCCAAGTCCAGATGAGTTAGGAATATTTTCTGGGATGAAGGCTGCTGATCAACCTGCAAACTTTAGAAGTTCCTGTGCTCTGTCAGCTTAACCCCAGCTGGGAAGGAGGGTAAAAAGGGTAAATACAGCCCTCTATGCCCTGTATAAATGGAGTCCTTGGGAGAGTACTCTGCAGGCCTGTGATTTGTGTCCAAAACTGGCCTGTGATCCAGTTCAGCCTTTCAGGTGCCTTTGTACAGGAAATAGCAAAGGCAACAATCGATGGCTTTGTAAAAAGAAAGAAATAATTTATAACCTTGTAAAAGAAGAGAAAACCAGGTCTTTTTTTCCCCATCTCTCTCTGAAGCTGGGACTTTTAGATGCAGTTTTCCTATACGTGTGCATGTGGGCACATTGAGATTTTTTTCACAGTACAGCATCTTCTTTTAGGCAGTAAAAATAACAGTGGAAATCTAGGGAAATAAAATGTTAGCAGTAGGAGCTCACAACTTGTATACAAGTTACTGGTTGTACAGAACTTAACCAGATGAAGTACAGATGTGCTTTAAAGCAACCTCTTACAAAGTGTGCTATGACAGCCGAATATTATCAGCTTTAGGAAAAGCTAATGACAAAGAACTAATAAACCTCAAAGGTACTACTCATTGTATGGTTGGGATAGACTGGTTTTCTGAGAAGAAGGTAGTCCACAGCAGTGTTTAAATAAAGTGGCTCCAGAGTAAGAGGAAAAATTAAAAAGGCAAAGTTTCTCTGTGGTGAATAAAACCACAGTTAATGTATTCTTAGTTGCTGCTGAATTCCCAGGGTCCCTGGGTCTAGCTATTGCTTCCATCTGCAAATAGAGTATAGTTTTTAACTCTTACAGAACAGCAGGTCCCTCATTTCCCCTTCCTGGTGTCAGCATCAAAGGGTTATCTCTTCTTTGGCTTGTGTCCTTCAGTTAGAAGGGCTGTCTGGATGAACTCAGGTGGCTCAGGGCTTTTGCAGAGGGCTTGGAAACTACAAGTTGTTCTACAGAGCTGCACAGATAACACTTAAGTGAGGCTTTTTGTTTTCACGACAAGATTTACATATACACTCAAGGAAGGCACATTGAAATACCTTCAAGGTAATTTTGAGGCAGCCTGTTCACCTTCTTCCAGCAGGGCACTTTTTTTGTAAACTTGCTGTTTTTTGTGCCATAATGTCTTGTAACCTGGGGCCCATTATTTGGACGCTGCGCGCACCCTTCCAAAGCCGTTAGTTTTAAGCCACTTGGCGTTTAGAGGAAGGCTGGCCCCAGCCTGCCAAGCGATTCCAACCGCTTATGGAAGCACCAGCTCCTGCTGAGTGTTTCACGAGCAACGGAAACCTGCCCGCCTGGCCCCCGCACCCGCCAGCGCGTCCCCCCTTCCACCCGCGCCCTGCTGAAGGCCCCGGGCCCGCGAGGCGACGCAGGGCTGTGGCGGCGGCGCGGGGCCGCTCGCGACGGGGAGAGCGGGTCTGTGGGCAGCTCAGGTGCTGCATGAGGGCTCGGGGTCCTTCCTCATGGGGGTCACCCCCTTGGCAAAGCACCGGCCCTGCTGCTCCCGGCCGCAGCGCCGGCCTCCATGGAGCGAGGCCGGAGGCGCCGCAAGGGCGGGTGCCCTGTGTGCTGCCCCGTGCCCCTCCGTGAGATGGGCGCACGGGGGAAGACACAGCCAGGGTATCTCCTACCTTAGTGTTGCCTTATGTGCTGAAGAGAGGCAGTGATTTGATTCACCGGTCGTTCAGGTGCCTGTTGCATTAGGTAAGAGGCTAGGGGATCTTTCTCATTCATAGTGTGGGTCTGCTAATGCCTCCGTATTTATTCTGTTTAGTTTTGTGGGAATTGCTAGGATTATAAAAATGTAATATTTGGTTTAAACATTTTAATGATGTGTAAAACTAGGCTGCACCACTTTCTCAGGCAAGGTGGTGTGGTGGGAAAATGGGAATTAAGGATGTGGATCAGCAGTGTATTAGAAGTACATCTGGCTTTTATTAGGTGTAAACCTCAGATCAGGTGCATTTGGGTGAAATATTTTCAGTAGTGTAAAAAGTGAGAACCTTTTTCTTTTCGCCTTAAAACAGTTTGCAAGTTATCATGTTCCTCTACATGGTCTGCCAATCTGAATTTGCACAATTGCAAAGATAGATAGGCAGCAAAAAATACCTAATTTTTGCAGAAGGTTGCAAAGATATGTAGCTGCACAGATAGACAGGAAGCATGACCTTCTAGATGGAGTCAAGGAGATAGGAAGTAATGACAAACACTAAACCTTCCTGTTTGTTTGTTTGTTTTTTCTCATCAGCTTGTGAGAATAATCAGCTTGAGGGGAAAAAAATATATAAATCTATTGTTTGTCTTGAGCTGTTAGTGTTTTTTTGTGTTGTTTAGCATTGAAATTATTTTTGTATTTTTTTTTAACCTGCTGGTGTATATTCCTTGAGAAAATATTTTCCCCTTCTTGTTTTGAAGTTATTTCTGAAGCTAGCCTTAATGACGCCTATTAAATAATGTGTGCTTTTTTTTAATTTTATGCTGTTCTGCATTGATAGCAAAAGACAAAGAACCTATTGAGTGAATTATTTCTATTCATAGTGACATAATTGGTCATACAAACTTTCCTGAAGTAAGTAAATATTTCTTTGATTTGGATACTTCATGTTGCATAATACATGGAAGTATTGCACAGTAGTATATCTGAAGAAAAAAGCTACTTGAAAGAGATCGTTTTAGATACAGAGGATATATCTGTATTCTCTTTTTTTTTATTTTTGCTTAGGAGCCTAAGTATACGTGATTCCTGCAGGGTAAAAAGTCAGTGTATGTTACCAAAATGTCTGTGTTGTGTTAATAATGTCTTGCTTATTTGCCTATCCTTTTGACTCTAAATAAAGATAGGAAATCTACAAATCTGCCTAATACAGAATATAGAAGACTCCCCTGAAGTACACTTCCACTTCTTGCAAATGAGGAAGTATCTAAAAATTAGGAATGTCATGTTTCCTTTGGAGGAAGAGAGAGAGAAGGAAGACCGCAGCAAAACTTTTTTTTTTTATTTATTTTTTTTTTATTTTTTTTTTTTTATTCTTGTAGAAATCAATATGAGCTCTTGGGAAATTTGTAAGAAAAACCTCTTGAGAGAAGAGTGGCTGTACTTTCTTTTTCTTTCTCCTCCCCTCTCTATTCTGATGTACTTGGGCGTATTTTGGTTTACTTTAAGCCACCTGGGATCCAGAGGAAAGTGTGCTGCCTGTGTGGCTGTGGGGGTAGTGGAAGAGAAGTGAGGGTTTCTTGTTAGTTTGGTCACAAATGAATTGGACACAAAAGCTGTCTTCGGTTTTAATGTAGTGCTTGCTCTCCTCCTTTTCTTGGGTGAGGAAAGTTGTGGCTGTGCTTTGGCAGGTGCACACAAGTATGCCAAAAGCTCCTTTTGTCTTTACAGGCTGATCCTCTTACCCTATTCTATTTTCCTTAAGGACTCCAGGCAAGAAAATTTCTCTAAAAAGCGCCACTGTATCCTACCTGCGCACACAGCCCAATTGATCTTGTACTTAGGTGCTTGAGCAGGTCAGCGTTTAGAAAAAATGATTCGACCTTTTCTGTTTATAACTTGTAGTTATTGTCTACTGCTGTGAGCTTTGCTGTGTTTGCATTGTCCTCTGTATTAGCTGCTTTAGAAGGGGAAGGGAGCCGTTGAATCAAAGCTCCTTGATCCAGTCCCCTGGATTTTTCTAGTGGAATAGGCTACGTGCCTGGAATTCAAAGGCAGTTCGAGGACTTGCTTGACTTTCCAGCACCTCAGTATGTTTTCCTCTCTCCATTCTCAGCCATGCTTTGATAAGAATATAGAGCAAATTTTCCCTTGGGAAACAATCTTCTCAGAGATCAGTTTATACCTTATCATTAGGTCTTCATAGAATTTTAGAATCTTTAAGGTTGGAAGGGACCTCCAGAGGTCATCTAGTCCAACCCCCCTGCCCAGGCAGGGTCACCCAGAGCACGGGGCACAGGGCTGCGTCCGAGCAGGTTTTAAGATCTCCGAAGAAGGAGACTCCACAGCCTCTCTGGGCAGCCTGTTCCAAGGCTCTCACTACCTTGCTGGATCATTTATGTAAAGGGAGGTTCTCTACATGGATCTAAGGGTCAAGTTTTTGTTATTGTAGAAAAACCTGCAGTTTTATTCCACCGAAGTTAGAAATACTTTATAATTTGGAAAGAAATGTACAAAACACTTTAAATATGGTTTCACATTTTGAAATGTATGTGTAATAGAATAAGAGGAAATATTATTTTTCTGTTAGTATTACTGTTTTATTAGTAATGGAATAGAGAAGAAAAATGCAATTTTGAGTGTGCTTAGTGGTTAATGCACTACTCTTTCACACATGCTTATTTTTCTTAATTCCTTGGTGATTTGGAGCAATGTCCAGAATGTTGAATTTCTAACAAAGCAGAAGTATCGTGATGGTGAAATGTTACCCATGTGCATATAACCTTTTAAAAGCAGAGTTCTAGTATTCCAGCCTCTGATACTTATCATAAATAGTGTTTTAATGGTTTTGGCTCGGTACATTTCTTACATTTTGCGTTACTTGTTTTTTCTAGGTATTGCCAGACTTCTGAAGCGGCTGACCCAAGTGACTGATCTTGGAACACAGGTGTGTAAAACAAATCCAGAATATTTTAGCTGATGTTTCTGCATGCTATTCGACTCTCAAGGTTGACTGCTGTATGAGATGTGGAAGATCTATGATTCTATGGAAACTTCAAGTGAGCTGATAAATAACTGAAAGCTGATTTTTTTTCTTTCTTTAAACTCTCAAGCTTATTTGTATAGTTCTTAGTTCTCGCTGCAAATCGTGGGGTCCTTTGGAAAGACTGATCATTTTGTTGATCTCATAAGCCCTACTCACTGCTGTTCCTTTGCATCCTACATGCTAATTACATGCCACTGTGACTAGAGAAGTGTGCAGGGAAAGGGTAAGAAAGAGCTTTGAAGATGTTAAATACTTTTTCAAGTGAATTTTCTGTAACTGTATGGTTTCTAATATTTACATTAGTTCAGGTAGTACTCTAGAACAAATTTTAGAGGTTCTAGAGAACTTTGATTGTATTCAGTTATCTAGAATATTTTTGGTCATGAGGACAGATCCAGGCCTATCCAAACAACATTCAGGTTTCCATGGAAAAATCCATGTTTTACTCTTGCCTGAAGTAATGGGCTTGCGAGAAGGCATGTTTAAACTTCAGGATCATGAAGAATGGAAGAAAGAATTCAAACCACACTATCTCATCAGCTAGTATCATTCTCACTTCAATACCTGTGTGTATGGGTCTGTGTGGCTGCTTTGCCTTTGTGATAGACACACTTCTTCATGCTCTGTGCAAGTATTCACACCTCACAAGTGCCCCACCACGTCAAAATCGATGTGTCAGTCCAGAATGTTTGTTAAAGAAAAGTTCATTCACTCTCCTGTATTGCATATGTGGTCCCACAAAAAGCTCTGTCAATGAGAAAGAGCTTTTGCAAGTTTATGGGTGGGAATCCTGGCCTGTGCCTCTTTATGCACAGACCCTAATGATAAATGGCGAGGTGACCATAGGCCTGCTATTCAAAAGTCACCTGTCCTAACATTCTGCAAATAAAAGCTATCCTTCTGTCATGTTAAACATAGTTATATTTTGGGGGAAATTTAAAATACAGTTTTAAAAATAATTCCAAGAAACTTGCTTATGACAGCTTGCTTGTTCATGAATCGTATGTAAAAGTAATCTTATAAACAACTTGCTACCTCATATGAAGCAACTTCTAATATTTTACTGACGTTTAATTGCATGATTTCACACTGAAAGCATTTCCTCCATTACAGAGTACTGATAGTTGTTATTTTATGGTTAATATGGTGATCCTTCTGGTGGGATGCTCTGACGTGGGCTTCTGATTCATGAAAGAATTTGAGGATATGCTTGAGGGCTGCTGAAATACAGCTACCAGGCTGTTTGTTTAGAAACTAAGGAAGTGCTTAGGAGTTTTGTTGGACGAGGAAAAGTTGAAGCACCACCTCTTGTTAAATTAGAGCCTTGCTCATGTTATGTGTCACCAAGATGCCATAGAGCACTTGCACAGCTCTTGTTAGGAGTGAAAGCTGAACTCTGGCCATGATGTATCACAGGCAAATTGTGCAGCTTTATGCAGCAACGAATATAAGGATCTATTCATTTAATGCTCTTTTAGGAGCTGTTAGTTGAGAATTAGAAAGTTTTAAATAACTTAAACTTCCTTCTGGGATACTGTTATGGATTAAGCATGAGTTATTTTACAGTAATATGCTTGTGACCGGTGGAGATGGGAGCCCTGTAATGCTTAGCAACAGAACAAAAATACTAGCATATACATAAAGAACATAAAGCTAACCTAAAGGCTAAATAAATTTGAGTGACTGTCAATAGATTGCACAGCTATGGTTAGCCCCATGTAGATCTAACATGCTAAAAGAAATCTGAAATTGTGATTTTTTTCGTAAGTAAATATGTAAATAGCACAGTTTCCACATCTGTTGCTGAGCCTAGCTGTCTGAATTTTCTTCATAGGCACTGTGGAAGTTGTCTTGAGGACGCTTTTATAGAGGAAAACACTTAGATTTTTTTTCACTTCAGTTGCAGTTCTTTTAAACTCTGAAAAAAATTGTACTGGAAGGAAGAAATAGGAGAGCTGAAAAATTATAGGACAAAATTACTTTTTGATGAGCTTTGAATTAAATCTTTTGTATTTTGCTTACTCTCTCATCTCCTTTTCTCCCTAAGGTTTCTATTTAATTGTAGTAGCATTCATATACTTGTGATCAAATAGCATTCACCTACTTGTACATGTGTTGTGTTGCAGTGTAAGGAAGATATAGACTACTATGCCCATTTTTATAGGCTTACATACATTTGGTTTGGAAGAGATTGGCCTAAGCTGAGTCAAATCAATGAGCTCAAACTGACATAATGTTGTTCTTTTGATATGCTGCTGTTAACTGTGACTTTTGGAACAAGTATCCTGCTTCTCTGGGAATAATTTCAGCCGTGAGTTATAAGATCAGTAACTTTCATCCAGGAAAAAAAAATCAGTTGGAAATAAATTAATGCAATGGGAATATTATGGGAAATCTCTCCTGTACAGTGACAGAAAGGTACCTCAGGACTTTTGTTCCCTTTTGGCAAAGCTGGATGGAAATTCTTCTCCTGATACTTTATAGCGGTGGTGACAGACCGTGCTATTTGGGAGTAACTGAGCTAATGACAAACACATGCGTGAAAGACCAACCCTGCTGAGCTGCATGCAGCAGTAACTGTGCAAGGAGATCCTGCCCAGCCAGGCTGGAGGTTCTTCAGGTGCAAACGCTCCTTCTCCTGCTTATGGGATCAGTTGGGGTTAGAGGATAAGGGTTGTTCTTCTGCCCTTGGAAATGACCGGGCGTCTTTGTGTGTGTCCTGACACCAGCAGAGCCAGGGCAGCCCTGGCCTACTCGGGGTGCCCCAGCTGCTGCCTTAGCCCTCTGTTGAACCCTATAATCTGCTTCTGGGCCTCATGGCAGTGTTTGCCTTCAACAGTATGTTTTAAGCCCTGCTGTATCTTAAACCCAAAGAGAAAAACTCTTAATACGTGTGATGCAACTGAAAAGTCCCTGCTTGCTAATCCTGCTTGGTTCACAACGGAAGGACACAGATAGGGGCAGGAGGCTGGTTTCTGTATTTTTGTTTGGTTTGGGATTGTTGCTTTTGTATATAATGGCATGGACATAGGGGATATTTTTTTTTCTTTCATGTGAAAGCCAAAAACAGAGGTGTAGCCGGTATTGCTGGTTTTGCTTGTTTTCTATTTGTTTTTGGCAACCAGAATAAATAGCAAGTTATACATTTGTACTACTTTTTCTATGTGGGCTGTAATACATGAAGCTAGGAACAACAACCTCTGCTGTGTGTGTGTGTGTTTTAATTTTAGACAGTTGATCTTTGTTCCTTCTTTTGAGAATTTTGAACTATTTTACCATCACTAACCTAAAATAGTGCCCCACTTCTGTCTGATAAGGACAGAAAGAGCAGTGGATCCTTTCTTTTGCTTTTATGTATCATTAGAAGGGAGAGGATGAACTACTGAACTGAGAAAATATTAATGCTAGGATGTCTGTCCTCAGGAAAGTGTCAGGAACTTTCAAAGGCTGTAGATCAGGCAGAACTGATCATTTGCTTGTGGAAGAACAAATGTTTTTTATTTCTAGAAGCTTGTGCAGTTCTTGACATGGGGATGCCCCACTGCAAGCAGCGAGGAAACAGCAATTGTAGCTTCATTGGTGTTTAGGGCTGCTGCTGCTACTGACCCCTGTGTTCTGCGTTCCTACCTCTGTTACTAACCTGCTAACGTTGCTTCAGTTCTTACTTACTTTGTTCGTTTAGTTTTCAAGTTCTTTGGTCCAGGGTGCTGTCTCTTTCTGTATCTGACTATGCCTTGATGCCCGTGGACACCTTTAGTTGTTGTGTGATTATTTTCACTTAAAGAATTTCTTTCTTGCTGTGACGTTTAACGCCAGGGGCTCACAGTGTGACATGGCATCCTGAAGACACTTGATTATTCCTCCTGAAAGAGGCAAGCTGCTCATACTCTGCAGAGCACGGTTTAGTGTTGCAGCTGCTCTTATGCAACAACGGGCGATGCCAAAAGGGGCAGTTCCACTTCGGCTCCTACTTTCCCTGTCTTGCATCAGCCCCAAGCCCCAAGGCGAATTCAAGGTAAGGAGCTGATTCAACAGAAAGCCTAGCTTGCTGGCTAGGCAAGCTCCATCAGCTAGCTGTGCTGGCCAGGCCAGGCCTGTTGCTGGGGAATGAATAGATCCAACACTAGGGACGGCCTGGAAGCAGCAGCTGGAAGCAGGCGCGGAGAGCGGCGCAGTTTCTTTAGGCAACAGGTAGTAACTAGGCCGGAGGAGATGCAGCGTGGAAGTGAATGCTCCCGAGAGCTGTGTTCTACAGCTGGAGTTTGAACATGTTGCAAGTGAGGGGCCAGCTCTGTTTCTGCTGATGTTAGTCGCTGCCGATCCCTTTCTGCACTGGCTGTATGTATTTTTCTACCTTTGCTTTGTAATCGGCATTTCTGAAGTAGCAATCATCTTTGCACTTTCTATACGTATTTCTGATGCCTAAATACAACTTTTGCTCTATATGACTTTAACTCGAAGTCTGCTTAATCTTGCAAATTGAAATGACAGAGGCTGCCCTTGATTGTGAGATGCTCTACAGTTCTTATATTCATGATGTCCCTTTTTCTACTTTGAAGATGATTTCTGTAATTCAAGTTGACTCTGAAGGGAATTTTTCATCCACTGCCCTTTCTCCCAAAAAGGTGTACACCAGATTGGACTGATTTCTTTGATCTTATTTTCTTCATGGGTCTTGTGTAATAAGATCTTGTACAGAGGGAGGTCTCTCTTCTTCCTTGCTCACCTTAAGTATCTGTGAAATAACAGGGAAGATGACAGGAAAGAGGAAGAGAAGTGAAATGCTAGAATTATTTTGGAAAATTAGTGACTAACTTTAATCAGAGGTCTTTTACAAAGAGCCCACAGGTGTTTGCGAGGATATGAATATTTCCTGCACTGCTGAGGTCACTGAGTAAATC